GGCTAGCCGGCTATGAGCGGCTAGCCGGTAATAGCCAGCCGATAGCCAGCCGTAGCCAGCCGTACCCATCCCTACTTACATGTTTTATTTTTATGTAACAGATAAAATATTCGTGTATGATGTTAATTTCTTACCATATAGCCCGTCATTAACGACGGGCTCTAATACTAGTCCAGTTTTATGAATTTTATGCAAATTAAATGAATATGTATCTAAACTTGCCTATCTTTAACTAAAAAGATCCTTTTAAATAATTGGTATAATGATCTACTGTATTCTAAACGTATCAAGATCTGCAACAGTTATGATTTTCACTTTACTATACATAGATCATACGGAAATCTGCGTATAAAATAAAATATAAGATTTTGAACAAAGTTAAACCATACATTTCGTTTCACTACGTTCTTGGTGTTGTATCTATTGCCAAAAACTATTTACATTTATTTCTTACATTTTGATAATATTATAATAACCATGGCACATTTTATAAATATTATAACTACCAATCTCCCAACTTCAATTACTGTGTTACTGATTTTATATATAATCAGATATTATTATAAATATTTTACTAGAGAGAATCCGCTTCCCGGACCATTTCCTTGGGTGCCTATCATAGGAAATACTCTAGATTTGTTTAAATATAAGTTAAACTTTCCAGAGTACATCAAAGATGTTCAATCGAAATATGGGGATTTTTGTGAATTTCATTTGGGTTCTAAACGAATTTTCATACTTTCAAATAGTGATGTAGCTTATCCAATTCATACCTCATCAGTAGCTCATAGTTATAAATTTTTATATCGTGATTTACCAAACCCTGGATTAAATGTAATGGGTATGGAAAATAGTGGAATTATTTTTAATAGAAATTTGGATGAATGGAAAATTAATCGCGAGTTCTTTATAAGAATAGCAATGTCAAAAAAATTTTTAAAAATGCTTACAGGAAAAACATATGAAACGACTGCGGATATGTTTAAATTATGGGATATTATGATAAATGATAAGAAAGAAGTTGATTTGTTTATATGGCTAGAAAAACTTGCTGGGGATATAGCAATCTCAACATCAACTGGACTGTCTGCTTACTCAATGCTTACTTACTTTAATTCGCTAGGATATGAATATGATCTTAATTATATTCCAGATTCAGAACTGGAACAATCTTCAAAATTGATTTATCTTATTGATTCCGTTTTTAAAGCAATGCAATGTAATAATTTATATAATTGTATTATATATTGCAAATAGCCATTATAATTAAAACGTTTAATATTTAAACTTTTTTTTTTTTAACTCAAGGGTTCAGTTTTATCCCACCTTTTATAAGAAATGCTCCTGGAATAAACTACTTTGACAACAAGATTCTTAATAAAGTAAAAAACTTGAAAGTCTTTTTACTTGAAATAATTCAAAGAAGACGCACAGAAATCGACTTATTATCCAACGATTCTTTACTGCCATCTGACTTTTTAACATTGCTCCTTACCGTCAACACACCACGGGATCTAGAACATAATTTATATAAGTCATTAAGCCGATCATTGAATGATCATGAAATTTTTGGTGTTATTAGAGACATTTTCTTGGGTTCCATCGAAACGGTGACTAATTCTTTAATTATAATGTTTGTAATAGTATACTGAACATAATACTAATATTTTATAATATTAAACTCATAACAGGTTGCATTTTCAATGTGTTCAGTATTTTACTATATATGCAAATATCCTTCCGTTCAATCTAAAGCATTTTCGGAGATCAACGATGTTTTCGGGGATTCAATATCTTTAAATTCCCTTTACGAAGGTATCGAGAAGCTATTATATTGTGATGCCTTAATTAAAGAAGCGCTTCGTTTAATCCCGGCATTTCCGCTATCGTCACGATCGAATTCTGAATCTGTAGAAGTTGGTGGATATCAATGGAAAGAGAGTCAAACATTTTTATTAAATTGCCAGAAAATAAACATCAACAAATGTGATTGGATTGATGGTGAAATTTTTGATCCTGAAAGGTTTTTGAAGAATGTGAATAGTAAACGATCAATGAATGCTAAAGAAATTAACAGCAAAAGGGCGTTTTCAAC